ATTTTGTGTCGTAGATCTAGTTGTCATTCTGTCAGTGAACAGTGCTCGCTCCTCAGCTGCAGCCTTTGCCATCTGTGCCTTCTTCAGCTCTCTGCAAGACACAGAGCGTCACACTTACGCAACGGTATCAGTAAGGACTACAGGTGTATCACGGCAAAAGCATTTCAAATGAATTACAGTAGTTCAGAAATTAAGACTTGCCATCAATTTAGGTCATACTAAGACCACTACCATTCACATCCACCTGTTTACAACCCAGAGGACAAAAGCGGAATGCTCATTACTTGTCTACATGTTATTTTCTTCCATTGTTGCGCAAAAGAAAGAACAAATTCACGCAACTCAGATTTTGAAATCCAGCCTTTTATAAGCTGCTCAACACTTCAATTATCAGAACACAGCAGGATGCTGTTTACTTTTCTAGTACAAGCCACATGATAAATCACTGAAAAGTTAATTATTGAGGTTTGCTCAAATGAAACATTCAGCCATAACTGAACTTCTGTGGAAGATTCAGACAAACAGACACACACTTAGATGAACGTAACTGGCAACGGACAACTCAGGAAGCATCCTTTTCCTTTTGCATACCCACATCAAAAGCTTATCACCACCTAAATCTTTTTTGCCTGACATACAAATCTGAGCCCAAAACTGCAAGGCCGAGTCACTGAAGGTTAGCACAGGGCACTGTCTCCGTGTGACATTTCTGTCAACTATTCTCTTTCAGAGAACTACCAATACTCAGTCTGAGGACAAAGTTAAGTAAAACTCAGGATAAAGCTATGAAATAGTCTGACTAAAGAGCAAAGTTATCTTCATCAAGGATTTCCCCACACAACCCTTTTATCCTTTCCTTAAACGCTGACACATATAGCTAAGCACAAGGACTGTCCCCATACTCTTTTCCTTCTCCTATCGCAAACTATCCCTCAAAGAATTTTCTCTACTGTAAGAATTAGTATTTGTAATCTGACTTCACATCCAGACCCCAAAGCAAGATCAAATTTTACAAGCTTGCTGCATATTGATGCAGGTGTATTTAGTTTTAAAGTCACATGTTTTAGTTTAATAAGCTACTCCCATTCTTGTAAGCCAAAGTATTATTAACACTCGTGCCCCATCTAATCCTCCCCACGTTATCAGTGCCAGTTCACTGCAAGAGAATGCAATCAAATTCTAGTTATCTTTCCTAAAGGTGGAACATCAGTCACAAATGCACACACAGGTGCACACCCACCCACCACACCATTACCAGGAAACTAAGTTTTACAATACAATTCCACCCTTCTCTAGATGTCTAAACCTCAATTCTTCCTTCCTCTGAAGAACAGAGTAGAAAAGTTGAGTTTCCTTACAAGAATTCCTTTCATTGATGATAAATTACACAAATGGTATCTTAAATGTGTCAAATGCAGGAGCATTAAAGAAAACAAAATAAAACAAAATAACCCAAAAATACCTAACTGAACTATTTTATGGAACATTATCCCACACAATATTAAAAATTACTGCGGATAAATGTTCTTTTTAAATCATTCTTGGATTTATAGTTATTTTATAAGGATGTACCCTACTTGCTGCCAGGCCAGAAGTAGTCTTCACAAAATATCAGCTTTGCCAACTTCCCCTTTCACATGATACAAAAATACGTTATCTTTATACAAGCAAGCAAGTTACCTCAGCAAATCTGTCCTTGAATAACCTGCACAAACTGTCAAATTATTCTTTTTGCAGTCAGTGCAATTCGTAAGAAGATTATAAAGATAACCATCTGAAACGGCAAGCCTGGCTACATTCAGACTGTAGCAATGGCAAGATAAGCAGATAGCACTGGAGAGAATCCAAACACGAAGTTAACATTAATTCAAAATGAGCCAGTCAGAAAGTAATCGGCGTTCTATATTCCCTCATAAAAGCCTATCTATTATGCATAATACGTGCAAAGTTAACTGCAGTGAAAGATTCAGATGACTGCTTCTTAACTTACTAGCTCTTTCCCATTAAGCAAAAATCAGACTTTCCTAAAGGGAATCTCTTCTTCAAAGCTTTGATTCCAAGTTGAGTGTTTGAGCAAGGGGTAGGACAAGATGACTGCCCGATACAAATGACTCTCTGGTAACCTAATAACGCTGCTGTGTACAAGTCAAATTAGTCCAAAAACATTCCTGATGTGCCATTTCTATTAAGTTAAAAACAGCTCATGTAAGTCATGCTTTTCAACTTGTTTCTATGCACAGACGACATTAGATCTAAGTTACGCTAAAACTGTCACAAAACCATGCATTATGCTCGAAACATTTTTTAGAAACTGTAATGTTTTGTATGCCTTGAATACTAATAGTGTAGTTTAAGATTGCCTTAGTGTTTTCAAGAAGTTCCTTCTATGGAAAAAGTTTCTTTAAAAGTTACATAATCCACTTTGTACTCTCAGGAACGTACATGCATACAGATTTGTGGACATCATGCAGAAACAAGGATGGTCCTGTTTTATTATCACTCTACGATGATATGAAAACCCAGTAGAAATTAAGTTATATTTAAGGATCCCAATAAACTACTTACTTCTGCAAGAGCGAGTTTTTGAATTTTTCAGCATTCAGTTCTATGCGGAGCTGCTCCGCACTCTTTTTTGCAGCAGAGAGAAGCACTGAATGCTTGACTAGTGCCACAGCTGAAGGCCTTTTCTCTGGATCAGGATTAATCATAACCTTGGAAAAAAAGAAAACAAGGCATTCCAGTTAAGGTCAGTAACACAGTAAATTACACTAATCAGTGAGCCACTGGTGGAAGAGTTCTTACTTTTAGTAAGTCTAGTAATTCTTGAGAAAGCACTTGTGGTATTCTAGGTAGTTTTCCTTGTCGAATTTCATGCCATTGATCCCCATTAGTTGGAAGTGGTTCAGCCCCAGCAGCACAGACAACAGTCAGAGCAAGAGCAAAAATATCTGCTTTCGGCAAATGAGTGTAGTTCTTGAAAAGTAAAGAAAAATAAGTTTACTACACATACCAGCCAGGGTAAGAAGAAATCTAACAAACAGCTAAACTATTCAGCACTGAACATATCCACAATATTACATTCCCCTTCTTTCAAGTACTATTAGTGTTCAAGGGGATTCCATTCAGGAAGTTTCTCCTCCAGCAAGGAGGCAGCAGACAGCAACTCATTACTCTAAGGAAAACAGCATGCAGACCAAACATCACTATTTTCCACAAACAGAACATTTACCTCTTGTAGGACTTCATTTGCAAGAAAACGGCTATCACCTTCCTCCACTTGGGGACTAGATACTCGAGTTACATGACCAAGGTCACCTGCCAAAAGAAAAGAATGTTATTTTTCAGAAGCCAAATAGATAATGCAATTCTTCTGAGCACAAGCGTGCTGTTTCTCACCTATTTTAAATATTACTCTATCAGACAACCAGTCATCATCATCACCCTCTTCTGAAGTTGTACTTGGGACTGATGTTCTAGATATGAAAATATTACCTGAAAAAAGAGCAGAATTGTTAAAAAACCCACTTCTGTCCAATTTCTACTTAATTTAGTTTTACTACAGTTTGCTTTAGCCACACAGAAGTTTTAGGTGTATACATATCCGGTTCCTAGAGTGAGAAACTTTAATGTACTCACTCTGGCCCCTCTGCTGGGAGGAGAGCCAAGCGTTATGCAAGTAGAGTCGACTGCATGAAAAGGACCCAAGATAAACTCTACAACAGTTTAAGTTTGCTAGCCAATTTTATAACTGAATCTTTGTACTGCTGTTTAGAACTTCAGCGAAGAATTTACAGTTATTAAGGTGTGGCTAACTGCTCATTTTTCTACAGCAGATTAAATTAACTGAGGAAGTTGTTAATACAGAGTAAAGCAGTTTACAAACTTACTAGGTTTGATATCCATGTGTACCAGTGACATTGAATGAATGTACTTTAAGCCTCGAGCCACCTGAAGTAGCAAGTCCTTCAGTTCTGGTTCAGTAAAATAATGCATATTCCTGTAATTTTCACTTATGGCATCTGCTAAACTGCCACCTACAACACATTTAAAGAAAATAACTAATTATTTTACATCAAACAACTGACAAAGTAACGACAACTTGCTTCCAAAAGTAAGTACAACTGGCTTCCAAAATTAGCAGTGAATATATCACCAAGAACTTGCCCATGATACATAGGAAGCGCAAAATCTTGTGCTGTATCTCATCTTTTACAGCCACGTAATATAACAAAATTTATTTTTCTGCTGTAGTTGCCATGCAAATTAACACAAGCGAAAGGACACCTCTCCCTCTTCCAGATGTCTGGAAGGGTTCAACCATAGCAAAAAGCTTCAGAGATCAGGTTCACCTCACTTGTTAAAGGAAACTTTCTGATAATTTTCTCTATTCTGGCTTGTACTATTGTACAGAAGAAAGAACAGTTTTGCTGCTTGCAAATGCCTCACAGTACTTCCAATATTCTTGAACACTTAAGACTTTGACTGCAATTTTGTATAGTTTTTGCTTCATGTATCTGGTATGTCTTTTCCAACAGAAAGGAACATCAGACACATTTGAGACAACAACAGTATGAGCTATGTGTATGGCAATCAATTCCTAACTAGTGCTAGGGATTTGTAGAGATACCTTTGTTTCTTCGAAAAACAGATTTTTTTGAAAGCAAGTTCAGAACAAGCGATAAACTTTACTTACCATTGCAATATTCATTCTGTATAAGCATATGATCATCTTCTGCCCATGCAGAGTAGTATCTTACTACATGGGAATGTTGTCCCAGAACTGCATGTGCATAGACCTCTCTTAAAGCATTTTGCCTGTTACGGTCACAAAAAATAACAACACACAAGCATATTATGAGGTGAAATTAGTCCAATTTCAGCTTCATAGAAACACTTAGTATCATGCCCCTCCGCCACCTCAGGTTTCTAATTTAAACCTTCATATTTGGTTCTGCGGCACCTCAAGATGGATTTGTATTTATATCCAAACAGCTCAAATAATTTACATTGTATTAAAAGACAAAGTATACGAACATCAAAGAAACCGTTTTGTTGCAGATAATTCTTGAGGGAGCTGCCACCTCCATTACATACTTTCCAACCAACAGAAAGCTTAGAGAAGCATCACTAAAGTTTTAGAAAAAAAACTAATGACGATCGTAAGCCAGGAGAATGACTGAACTCAACATTCGTAACTTTTTGTGTGTAAGTTTTTTGCAACTCAAACTTGTGGAGTTTTGTAACTATTAAAACAGTGCAGGGGGAAAAGTCAATGAATCGCAGGCTCATTCATAAAGGCCAAAAAATACCCCCAAACTGACTTAATTAACCTGTATGTCACTCGAGTTGCCAGGGATGAGGATCTAGTTGGGAATACTGCTTTCCTTTCTTATTTCAAAGGATCATCACTGCACAGTTTATTCATATAATCCCTCTTGCCATTAATGCACCCAAGCATTATTCTTACTTTCCAGACGAGAACAATCTGTTTCCACAGAGAATATTGGGACAAACGTCTGCTGGGAGAAAGGCCAAGTAGACTTTCCTCCCTAGTATTGAACAGTATTCAGAAAAAGAAAAAAAAAATCTGAAGTGACTTCAAAGTATCTGTTTTACATTTAATTAATGTACATTTATACTTTTCTCTTAAACGTCTTCTGTAGACACCGATACAAAGAGACATGCGAGGAAAAAGCACCAAGAGGTGACTTTGAATAGCAGGAAATACTCACTCATCCACTGAGCCAGCTAAGGGTTTTTTGGATCGCTTTATTGCATAAATACAGCCATCAAGCCTCTTCACACATTTAAACACAGAACCAAATTCACCAGATCCAATCTTCTCCAACTCGTGAAATTCAGTTGCATACCGTGACTTCATATTGCTTTCTGTTATTGTTATCCTCTACAAAGATTAGAAAGGAAAACACTTACATCTGCAGATATGCAAACTGCCAAACTTAGTATCAAGTTCTCATGATTAGTTACCTTAGCAGGTCTGATAGTTTCATCTTCAGGCTCTCCATCACTTGCTTCCATGTCCTCTCCATAAGAGCTGAAATTCACACCAGTTACTTTTGCAGAAGTCATTTGGCTTAAGTAAACTTAAAACTGAAGTCTCGCAGCTGTTGACTTTTCTGAGATCTAATTCTTCCATTCTACCTAAGTTTAGTTTAACTAATTGAACGCTACACATCTGTAACTCACAAAATAAAGGTACCACACTGGTATCTTTGCAATGTTTTTCTTCATGTTTCATACTACTCTTTACTGTGGTTTTGCCTCCTTAGGAAAAGGTAGTGTGCACAGCTCATTCAGTCAGGTAAAAAGACTGCAGGACATAGCCTAGTCTATCCTCCCGGTATACTAATCAAAAGATCTAGTGCTAAATGGTTATTTCATATCGTGCATCTCAAAGCAGATACTTTAAGAGCTATACTATGCATCACTAACAGATTTGCAAGGAAAATTCTTGCAGCTAAAAGTAGTTCTAAAGCTAAGCTTAACAATGGAAGATAGAAATTACTCACTCATTCCAGTGCGTTCTCTTCCTCCTACGACATTTTCCTTCAGAGTTGTGAAGAAACATGGAATCAGGAGTGAACGGATTAATGTTCACATGAGGTGTTTGTCTAATATCTTCTTCTTGCTTCTCTGATTTCCCCACATTCATAAATAGAGAGCCTCCTCGAAGTTTGACTGAGCTGGAGCCTATTCCTTGTGCTCTAGAAAGCAGACTCTGTGTTTTTATTTTTTTTTTTAAAAGAGACAGAAGGGAAAAAAAAGAAAAAAGAGACATTTAAAGAGACATTTATACCCTCAATATTGCTTTAGTCACAGTCAGGTCATGCTTGAAGGCCATCATTACAATATTTATTAAAGTTAGCACAAGTTGTTTAAATACCTGCATTTCCATCAAATGAAATCTAAATAAACTATTAGGCTTTACAATCCACAAAAAAAAAACAGCTAAAGGAAACACTAAATGTTAAAATAATTTTCAGGAGACAGGAAAGATTATGAGACTAGTGTTTTTCTGTCTTCGATCATGTCATCACCTAAACTTCTCAGACAATTCTTCATCCATAAAACAAACACAGATGAAACTCATGGACCATCCTGTGCCATATCACCATGATTTTCACATACAAAATATGGAAGTTAGATCAGACATAGGAAACAATCTTTGCTGCCTACAAATTTCAGTGGCAAACTAAAAAAATTAAGAAAATAAAAGATTTAATACTGATGCACAGATGCCTTTTCATGAGCCTGCGAAGAACTGCTCAAGAACTGACAGCATTGTTGCACTGTCAATTCAACATCCAAAACAGATCTTTAGGTGGTAATTTATCAGATCAGGCATTTCTAGGCACACGATCAAACATCTCCCAGTCAGGTAGAGAAGTCTGCAAACGACTGTCCCACACCCTCGTGAGGATGCCAACCACTGACCTATTGGATCACAACCAGGAGCATTGCCTTATCCTGGCAACACCTTACGAAATAAAGAATTTACATGCCTAAAGCCTAGACCACCTCAGGGAAGAAGGCTAATGCTTGGGAATCTCAACTGCACTCCCCAAATCCAGACTAGATGAAGACCTTTAAATCACTGTGTCTCAACACACATTTCAGTATCTCCACTGGATAATTTAACCAAACGATTCTTCCAAAGACAACCTCTCCCAAATAACCCATGCGGAATTCGGGCCCCTAATTTAAGAATCCCATTAAACCTCAGCACTAAGACTTTGTTCTTAGTGTCACAGTCCACAAGACACTTGCAACTCTGAAGTGTCTGCTCCTGACTGGGGACAAGATCATCACCAATTTTACCGTTTCCAAACATGTACCACTAATTTCTATCAGTGAAACTTCACTTGAGATGGAAGCTGTAGAAAACCAATTAACAAGGCTGCCTTCCTCGCACCTTAAACCAGTTGTTTTCAATCCAGTCTATAGACCTCTAGGAGATTATCCCCGGGGATTATGCCTGGATTACTTCTAAAGGGCTATAAGAAAAGTAATGAAGAAAGCAAGCCTATTATCAATAGATTTAAATTCGCTATATGGTGTTTTACATGACTGTCGAGTTCAAAAGTTGAAACGCCTCCCAAAAGTCTGTTATCGACGGGCTTAAGAGCTACCTATCCCTTTAAGCTTTCAAATCCATCAGTTTAACAGTGTCGGCTACTCCAACAGCCTTTTACGTCTGACACAGAGGAGCGCAGGCACCGAGTTTGCGCCGAGATAAGGTCCAACAGCAGCACTCAACACCAGACGTACCAGTTTACTAACAGACACGGAGGAGCAATTTCTAATTCAAGCTTTAGCTTTCAGGTTCTAAAGGCACAAACGCCCACGCAACACAAAAACATTTATTGTAAAAGTTGAATATTCTACTTCCACCTTTTTAAAAGTCTTTCCCACAAAGCACAGCAAAAGCAGGGTACTTGTGTTTTTATTTATAAAAGCATTTTCACACCCCTCCGCCTGGGCC